TCTTCACCGTTACCTTATTCAACTCCCGATAATCTATACACATCCGGTGCGACCCGTCCTTCTTTTTCACAAACGGAATCGGGGATCCCCAGGGTGAACTACTCGGCCTAATGAATCCCTTGTCTAGCAGCTCCTGCAGCTGCGTAGACAACTCCTGCATCTCAGGAGGAGCCAAACAATATGGTGCCTTGGCTATCGGGGCCGCACCAGGAACGAGGTCAATCCTGAACTCCACCTGTCGCTCGGGAGGTATCCCAGGAAGCTCCTCTGGGAAAACATCTGCGAAATCTCGCACCACCGGAACCTCGCTCACGGTCAAATTACCCGCCTCCCGGGTATCCATCACGTACGCAACGTATCCTGCACATCCCTGCTGAAGATAACGTCTAGCCCTCGAGTCGAACAACACTTGGACTGGGATACCATTCACATGGAACGATCCTAACACATATACATATACCGGTCACATCTCAATATCATAACATCATATAAATAAACAAGAAGGAAAAGAATCATACCCGTCACCACATCGGGTGTTGCGCGTGCCTCCTCGGTGGTCAGCTGGAATGCTCGGCTCCTCACCATTGGAGCCTCTGCCTTGCCCTATCGGCCATCGGTGATCCGCAGGGTCGCTGGGGCTGGCGCCTTTACCGGCGCTGAACCTGTCAACTGGGGGCAATTGGCCTTCTTGTGGCCCCTCTGGTTGCAGTGGAAACACAGTAACTCAGATGTCTGTATCGCCGCAACTGGAGTAGTATAATCCCTGCTAAAGTGCCCTACCTTGCCGCACTTGTAGCAGCCTTCTGATCCCTGCCGACATGCTCCCTCATGTGTCCTGCCGCATTTCCCGCAGCGGCCCGGTCCCCCTTGGCCTTTCGGCCTCCCCTCTGATCCCCGGGACTTCTTTCTTGAAGTCCTAATCACCTGACCCGCCTCTGCTTTCCTCTTCCGAATGTGCTCTAAATCAATCTCCCTCTCCCTCGCCCTGGCGATCATGGACTCCAGGGTAGGGCAAGCTGAAAAGCTAACATGCTCCCGGATGTTAGCCCGAAGCATATCATGATAACGGGTCCTCCTCATATACTCGTCACCTGCATACTGGGGCACCAACAAGGCCCTCTCCCGGAACTTGGCGGTGATCTCCGCCACAGTCTCAGTCGTCTGCCTCATATCCAAAAACTCCCTGGCCAGTTGCTGAAGCTCGACAGCCGGCGCAAACTCTGTCCTGAACCTGGTCACAAAATCTGACCAAGTCATAGCCTCGATAGCTGAGGCTCCCAACGAGTCACCCACTGACTCCCACCAGTCTCGAGCTCGATCCCGCAAACACCCTGCTGCATACCTCACCTTCGACCCCTCGGGGAAGAAGCTAGTCAGTTGTGCAAACTCGATGTCTGCAATCCATCGTCTAGCGGCAATGGGGTCTTTCACCCCGTGGAAATCCGGCGCACCACTGCCCCTGAAGTCCTTAAAGGACAATGTGCGAGATCCCGACTGGCCGGATGCCATGTCGCTCCTAAACGCCCTGAGGCGATCCTCCATCAACTCGATGATCCCTTCCTTGATCGACCCGAAGATAATGGGGGTCGACTCAAGGATGCCCCTGGTGATCTCAGACGCGATGAACTTGCGCAACCTCTCATCTACTGGCTCGGAACCTGATCCCGAACCCGACCCCTCTCCTGAATTGCCAGCTGCTGGCCTCGGGCGTAGTACCACCATTATGAAATACAAGAAATAACAATTGTTAGCGATACTAATACCCCTGGAGGGATCCTACTCGCTACAAGTTCCCCGGTCTTATCTTGGCCTTCCTTGGTTCGGGTACGGATCCTCTGCTTTCAGTAGTACGAGCCTATACTACCTTCCACATCTATCCGTACCTTCTTCAAGGACTGCCTTAACTCCACCAGGTCCCTTCCATTACCGCTAATCACTGCTACTCTTTATCCTAGGCTTACCCTAGGAAACCCTTGACTTCACCCAACCCAGTCCTCAGCTGTTGAAGGCCTCTTGGTGATGCCAATTAACTATTACCTGAATACAATCACATGTGATGAGGCTCGGATAATCCTTCGAGTAAGGGACTCATCCCTACAATGGTTAAGACTCAAACAAGAGTTACGCAATAGGGTCAAATTCAACACTTTGAGTTTATACGATCTTGATCACATGTGACTTTAGCGTATTCACCTAACAGTTAACTCTCATCACTTCAAAGCCCACATAGCACAAAGCAAACAACATTTGGACATAGGAAAACAATCTCAGGCAACTCTATCCTCGCAGAGAGCACTAAACTAGCATACAATTCTTTCATATACTTAAGCACATAAAGCAGGCACATAAGGCATCACTCCTAGATCCTTATTCATATTCTAGCATGTTGTTCTACAAAAGCTGATAAACATAACATAAACTTGTATGGGTATTTTGGGGAATACTTACTTGAGCTCGGCCGGTTGCGTACATCACACACTTCGTTCTTTTTTCAAAACTCGTTTCTTAGTTTCAAAAAAACATTTTCATTTAGAAAATCTTTTAATCCCTCGATTTGAGTTCAGGCACCCCCAAAGGTGTGTCTGAATCCCTCAAACCAGGGCTCTGATACCAACTTGTAACACCCTAAAATTACCGGTTAAAAATTTCGTTTTTAATTTACATGAAAACGTAAAACATCATTACAAACATTCATGATAAAAATCCATGTCTGAAAAACCGGTGACATCATAATCAGAATTCAGAGTGCATCCCAGAAAATCTACAATGCGGAAAACAAAAGGCGTATGTGTGATGTGTTGCTACCGCACCGGCTCCTTTCCCTTAGCTGAGGAAGTACCTGAAACAACAACTGAAAAACGTAAGCACAAAGCTTAGTGAGTTCCCCCACAATACCCCATACCATGCAAGCATATAACAACAACATTCAACTATGAGATACGGGCCCTTTCCCACACTCGTGAAGATACGGGCCCTGCCCACACTTCGCTTTCTAGGAGATACGGGCCATGCCCACACTCGGGAATATACGGGCCTTACCCACACTTCGCCATCAGGGAGATACGGGCCTAGCCCACACTCCACTCTCGGAGAGATACGGGCCTAGCCCACACTCAACCGCCAACTCATATCATACAATTATCACACAAACAACAAGTATAAACAGCTCTATCCTACTAGCATATATCGCAATCACTTAATTAAGAGGTACGGGCTCGGCCCACACTCTAATACTAACGTCTCGTCTATACGGGCCGACCTTGGTGCCTTAGACCCGTTACTACTGAAAGGAAACTCACCTCGAAATAGCTGTTGGTGTGTGTGGGAACCGACTATCTGCTGCTATTGCTACTCCGGAAATCCTCCGGCTGTAATTCCCACAACATACTCAATCAATCAATATTTACTGCCTTTTTGGGTGAAATGACCCTTTTACCCCCGACCCTGCCCTAAGTCAAAGTCAGAGTCAACTTCCAGTTGACCCGACTCGTCGAGTTGGCTATCCAACTCGTCGAGTCTATGTCCAAACGACTATCCGGGATTCTGTTTCTACTCGTCGAGTCAGGCGTTGACTCGACGAGTTCTCCATCCAAACTGATGTTCAAGTCCTTCATCCTACTCGCCGAGTTGTATGAACAACTCGGCGAGTTCATCTTCATCCGATGAACACTTATGCTGCGACTCGCCGAGTTGTATGAACAACTCGCCGAGTCTGATCTTGATCTAAGGAGATTGCCTTGAACTCGCCGAGTTAGGGCATCGACTCACCGAGTTCCATTATGGGTGAGTTTTGGCTTCTAACTCACCGAGTCCCTCCTGGACTCATCTCACGACTCGACATAACAAAAAGGGGGCAAACCCGGAGACTCGCGACTGGACTCGCCGAGTCAGATGAGCGACTCGCCGAGTCCGTTCCATGCAAGAGCTAAAAATGCGATTTTGCTCGAATCCAATCCATGTCATTTGTAGATATGGGCTCCTAGAGCATGAATAACACGTAAAGTTTCCAACTTTACGTGTAAATATCCATCTATGGGGCTTTTAGGGTTTGAAATGCACCAAAAAAGTAGATCTAAGGTTTATGTGCAATATTGGCTCATAAAGGTAGTGGATCTGAGCTCCTGGAGCTCAACTATGTTTGGATCAAGAGACCAATCAGCTTATTTCGGAACATTATGCACATACAAGCTTGGGGAATGGCTCAAGAATGTCTTAAATGAAGCAATAAGCATGGAAACAAGGTAAAAACGAGATATACCTCAATGGAACTGCTGAGAGAACACAATGGTGCTTGGATAACTTCCCCTTCTTCTGGATCTACTTCCCTTCTTCTTCAAAACCTTCAAAAACACCAACAATTGCTTCAACTCTTCAAAGAACAAGCTTAAACGAGGGTTAGGAGCTCTGGGGGGTGAATGGGGGATGGCTTGGGGCGGATATGTTGCTTAAATAGGGTGCAAACCCCTGAAACTTAGGGTTTCATCCAACAGCGGTGACTCGCCGAGTCCAGGATATGGACTCGCCGAGTCGCCAACTTAAGTGTGTCCCATGTCTCGTCCCTACTCGGCGAGTCGAACCTATGACTCGCTGGGTCCAAGGCTTAAAAGGAAAAATACTCAATGAAGATTTACATACCAGGAACTAGGCGCTACAGATTTAGCCCTAAACACCTTCATTCTTGATATGCTTAAGTCCAAATCCATTTGAAGCTCTTCTTGTAAGGTTGTTACTGGGATGCGAGGGTTGGAATCCACTTTTTGGAGAATAGTGCTTGCAAGATATCTAGATGTACATGCCTTCACATTTCTACTTTGTAAGCATAAATGCTCATCAATAACTGTCTTCACCAACCATTGTTCCTATTCCGTAGATCTGGATATCTGAATAGCAAAAGGACAATAATATTTTTGTGAAATTATAGTTTTGCCTTTCGATGTGGCTTTACTTACAGTGGAGGGCCCACCATCAGTGGAATTTGGAACCACCCCTTTACACTTAACTCATACTCTCAAATTTTCAATTTTTGCCATGTGTAGGGCCCTCCTTGTTTTTATTGAAGGCATCTTCACGTGACCTTGTATATCTTTTTTGGTTTTAAAATCTTGACCTACAAAAAATGGTGTAACATGAATTACCGCATAAGAACAAGGCACCTTCTTGTTCAGGTTTTTTAACATTCTCTTCCTTAGGTCTTCCTCATATCCTGCACTTTCAAACTCATCATTGTTGATGACGCCTAAATCATCATCTTGATTTAAATCTAATTCTATGTTTGGACCTTGTCCAAACCATTCAAGCTCATCCACACAACTATGAAACTCTCTCATATCAACCTCCCAGTCATATAAAATAGCTTCTGGGTCAACAATGTAGTCAGAATCATCATCTTCTTCTGTATGCTCTTCTGAATCATTTTTTGAATCCTCTGCATGCCCTTGTTCATCTTCTTCATCCTGTTCTTCTTCAGCTTCAACCTCTCTTTCAAACTCACCTATATTCTAATATCCATCACTACTAAAAGGCTCAAAATCATCTAGCATTTCCCTATGATTCTGGCAATTAATATCAACTGTAATTTCTTGCATTGTATCAGTTTCTTTTGGTACAGGGAAATACGAATCATCCTTAAACTCATTAACCATGTATTGTTTGTTTGTCTTAAAAGGAACTAGGGACATGGAAAAAACATACACACCATCTTCTCTCTGAGCTTGATTAGATGATTCTTTAAGTGGGACATTCATGTCTAATTTCTTGCTACACGAACCAATTCCCTTCTTCTTAGGCCTAATCCTATTAAGCTCAGGAGAAGGATCATCATCCAGTTGCTCAATAACATCTTTACTTGGGGACATGAAGTAAGTATGAAGTCTTGTAGAACCATGTTCAACGTACACATTAATCACTTTGTTTTGAGGGACAAATTGAATCATAGATATAACGTCTTGATCATTTCCTAGAGCCTTCAATCCAAAATCTAAGTCTAGATTAGGAATTCTATAATGATAGTACATTGTGTCATCCGCATAATACCCTATCTCACGAATCATGTCATTTAGATCATGAATTGAAAAAAGATCAGTGTCAACAAAGTCATAGAATGCCAACCTTCCCTCAACGTACTTTCTTCATGGGAACTTTGAAAAAAAAATCCACCATGATGTATTTTTAAAGTGAAGAAATTTTCATAACCATCTGAAAAAGAAAAATGACGAGCCTTGAATATATAAAACAAGAAACACCAAGAAAAAGATGAAACAACTTACTGTAATCTTTATCAAGGTCGGGTGCAATCATATGAGGATCACGTAAATTCCACATACAAAGTACCATTTTCAGTTGATAAAACCTAAAATTGGATGAGAGGGATGAAGGATGAAGATCGTCAAGATGATCAGTAGGCTAAGGTGAAGAGGAGAAGAAGGGGGTTTCTTGGACTCTGCTTAATGAGGATAAGTTAATGACGTATCGTTGCCTAATCCATCTTAAATGAGCGCCAAGCGTAAAAAGACGAATATACCCCCAACTTAATGACCCCAAACGGCTAAAATTGACGGTGTTATAAAAAAGGACCTCCGATGCAACTTTTACAAACCACAATGGCCAAATGCATAAAAAAAATAGATAGGGACTAAGTTTGTTACTTTTGACAAACCACTGGGATCATTTTTGTAATTTTGTCCTTTTTAATATACATAAAACATTATTTTATATGTAAATATGTAAATTAATGAAATAATAATGATATTATATAATGAAGTATAATTTTGATTATAAAAGAAACAACCACAATCAACCGCGAAAATGTGATAAATTCATTTTAATTAAAACATACGGGACCACCAAAGCAAACAAAAAATAAGAAAAAAACATAAACGATAACAACAAATGATACCAAAAAATTACATTCAACCATAAACATTTATAACATCATTTCCAGACAAAACATCTCATATTTTCTAAGACAACAACATTTTTTCATTTCATAATCACCATTATTATGCCTTTTCAAGCAAATGTATATTATAAGTGAGCTTGATGTGGTGTAAACTTAATTCCACAATGGTAGAAAGATAAGCTATGCTAACATATAAGACAATGGGTAATCCCTTTTATCACTAATTAGTTTTAGAAAATATAACCTCATTGTTCTTCTATATTGATCATGGTTGAGCTATTAACGATCCTAACACGATGATCTTTCAAACTTAATAAAAAATGAACAATGTGTTATACAACTGACACCTAGATCACCATAACTATTACATAGTGTCATGTATTCATGATATTCATAAGTGCTCGAGAATGAGAGATACTGATGAAAGGTCTAATTTACCCTTTGCTTGGGAGGTATGCGATATACTTTAAAGGCTGAAATTTGATGATGTGAGTTGCATTAACCGAATCTGCAACACACTGAGTACTTAAGGACTACATTATTACAAAAAGAAGTTGAACTAAAACCGTAATATTTTATCACTCACATGGACCACTTTTATAATTTACCCTCATTAAATTAAAAAACTTGTTGGCCTACAATATCAAACATTAGAAAAACATAAACTAAACTAATACATTTAATTACTAAATATTAATACATTATGTTAAACCAAACGTTAAACAAGCCACATTGGCTTAAAATAAATTAATACTATAGTAATACATTTTAGTGTCAACTGTGTTTATGATAAAGTCTAGTGCATACACCATACAAAACACACATCCGGTTATTGTTTGTTTGGTTTGCCAATTTGCTGGCATGTATAATAGTAGAAAGTAATTATATAACGCAAGAAACACGATCGTCTAGAGAAGCAAAACGCTCATGTGGGGCAAAATACATGATCATGTCTGACCATGTGCCCACACCAGGTTCTATCCAAGAGATCAAACAACACTTCATGGTCCATATATATATGGTACACCAGATTCCATACAGGTAGTGACGCCAAATCTTGAGGTCAAACACCACCGCCCCCAGCTCCAAATCGTGAGTGTGAATGTGTGATACCTCGTCTCATGAGACTTCAGCTGTCTCAATGCATATGCTATCATGTGCCCCATCTGCAACAACACTATACCCATCTCGGATATAGAAGCATCACAATAAATTCATTTTGCCTATTTACGATTTTACAATAATTACAATGAGAATTTATAAACCCCCGGTCTCGATGGATATCTAGTTGGCAACAATATAAAAACCTGAAACCATAACAAGAACTAGGACTGTAAACGAACTGAACGTTCAGCGAACTGTTTGTGAACCGTTCGACAGTAAGTTTTTTTTTTTTTTTTTTTTTTTTTAATATATATATATTTTTTTTTTTATGTTCGTTTATTTAATAAATGAACGAATATGAACAAAAATTATTGTTCGTTTAGTTAACCGAACAAACATGAACAATAGTCTCGTTTGTTCAATTATGTTGTTTGTTTATGTCCGTTTATACAAGTCCATTTTATGTTTATATATGCTTAATTGTGTTTGATCACAATATTATATTATATGTTCATACATGTTCAATTATGTTTATTTATGTTTGTTAGTTTTTGTTCGTTTAGAACGTTCACAAACATAAACGAACGAACATGAACAATGTAATTTTTTAAACGAATGAACATGAACAAGAAAATTCATTCGCTTATCCGTTCGTGTTATTTTATTTGTTCAACTAACTTAAACGAACGAACATGAACAAACCCTCATTCATGTTCGTTCTATTCGTTTACAACCCTGATAACAACCATCTCAACCGATTTCAAACCTTGGGAATCGAACGAGTCTAATCACATATGTTCCATTTCTCTTAGTTGAAACCATATGAAATAAGATAAGTAGAAAGTTAAATATTAAAGGACCACATGCATTATATATTTGCTTTTACTCCTCTAGTTGAAACCATATGAAAAAAGATAAGTAGAAAATTAAAATATTAAAGGACCACATACATTATATATTTGCTTTTGGGCCAACCTAATAATGTTGTACTTTCCAAAGTTATTTTATCAATGTTTGGGGGGCTAATTGGTAATTAACTTACACATTTTGGCGCTAAAAATCAAATAAGAGGATGTTGATACTTTTAACATTATAATTAGTTAATTACAGCCTGCCAATGAAAAATATAAAACTGAAAAAAAAAAAAAAAACCAAGGAAAGAAAAATGGCGTCTACTGGTTTTTTCGGAATGGCGCCAAACGAAAACTAGAAACACACCAGATTCAATATTCCCGCCATGGTAGCTCGTCGATATCATCTTCCGCCATTCACAACAACAATTACAGAAAGCCAAATACCGATTGTTTCCCTTTCTCCCCCCTCGCCTTCTTGAAATGGATTTGTCGGATATTGCAAAGAAGCTAGGGCTTAAGGAATCGAAGCAAGTCGTTCGTAAAGCCGCTGAGCTCCGTCGCGTCTCCGATCTTCAATTCGACTCATCCAATGCCGGAATCGTAAGTAGTTGGCTTCTGTTACGATGTTTCATTTACTGTTGACTTGTATTAGTAGATTTGTTATGCCTGATTCTTCATAAATGTTTTCATTTGGAAAAAATGCAGGGAGAAACTTGCAAAGCTCTCATCTGCCTCGAGATTGCTGCTAACATGTATGTGCGAATTCGAGAATGACGTATTCATTTCTAGGTCGTTAATTTCTTTCGTTCTAATTTTTGATGATGAATCTGATTGTTTATCCCTAATAACTGTAGGAAGCAAGTTCTATTTGATCGTCAAAACGCTATAAAGTTGAGTGGGATGTCGGAGAAGGCTTACATTAGATCTTTCAATGTGATGCAGAACGGGATTGGCGTCATGTGTGTTCTTCATCTTACTTTTTATTCCATCGACATACATCAGATCAAACATCGAATAATCATTTCGCGATGAATTGCAGGAATCGACTTGATATTAGGGAATTAGCTATCCAGTTTGGATGTGTTAGGCTCATCCCTCTTGTTAAAAAAGGACTATCACTGTAAGTTCATATCCACCATTAACAAATACCAACCATTCTACATTCCTCATTCCTCATAACACATATCAATCTCCCATGTCTAAATCCGATTCCATTACAGATACAGAGATCGATTCATGTCATCATTACCTGCTTGGAGACGAGCCACCACTGATTGTTCAAAGCCTGTGTTCACAGCTGCAGGGTTTTACTTGTGTGCTAAAAAGCATAAGGTATATCTTAATGAATAATGATTTAAACGTTTATTTCATCATTTTGATACTAATTTGGTTACTTTTACAGCTCAAAGTCGATAAAACTAAGTTGATTGAACTTTCTGGATCATCTGAAGATGAATTTTCAAGTGTAAGAAGCATTTACAATGTCTATAAACACATATATACACATCAACCTTTGTATGAAATCATAATGTTGGAATCAATGCAGGTATGTACATCCATGAAAGACCTTTGTCATGATGTCTTTGGAGTTTCACAAGAAAAGAAAGATCCAAAGTCTGTGAAAGGGAACAGAGGTAAAAATTAAAATCTCATTTACAAAAACTTTTTTATTACTTTCATTTAATAATTCAAGTAAATTAATTTGTGTACATTTGTTTATAATCATTGCTTGATTTTGCAATTTTGCAGATTTGTTGGATGTTTTACCTGAAAAAAGGCAAACTGAGGATGGTGGTTATTCATCTGATGAAGGCGAAGATGTATATAACCTTTCTAATTTCTCTATATTTATAAATTATAATGCAATAATCAAAGGGAATTGAATTGGGTAATATAATGGAACTAAAAAAAATAATGTTTGTTTACAAAAAAACAGTTCATTACTTAGTTAAATTATGTATTTATTGTTTTCTAAAAACAACTAAAACATAGTTTTTATTATAAATGTATTTTGATCAAAATATGTTTTTCAATAATAACATTTTTTTTTTCGTTTTATTCTTTCTATTGAATCAAATATGACGACGTAATATAATATCTAAAATTCATTTTATCAAGCAAACTGTAATAAAACTCAAAAAAAATTATACAAATTCTTTTTTTTATATAGTATCCAATAATTGTTTTTAAATTA